CCCCCCCTCCCCCCCCGCAGCCCTCGCACCCTACCCGCAGCCCCTGGCCCCGAGTTGACCCTCCCACCCGCCCACAGCCACCTTCGAGCTGGCCAAGGGGCTCCTGACGGTCTCGGCCATCCTGAGCTTCGTGGCCGTCAGCTCCATCCTCACGTCCTGCTGCCGCTTACCCCGCTTCAAGGTGGGAGCCATCGCCAACACCCTCACAGGTAGCATGGCACCCGCGCAGCTGGCTCGGGTGGGCTGGGCTGGGTATAACGGCCCTGGGGGTGGCTGGCTCTGGGGTGGGTGGCTGGGTGTAACAGTGCCAGTTGCAGCTGGCTCATGTGGGCGGCTGGGTGTAACGGTGCCGGTTGCAGCTGCCTCGGGTGGGCAGCTGAGTCTAATGGCACCAGTTGCAGATGGCTCTGGGGTGCTGGCCAGGCGTAATGACCCCCTCACACCTCCAGGGCTGATAGCGCTCTCTGGCCTGGCCATGCTGGGTGTCACGGTGTCTCCGCTCCCCAACACCTTCCACCCCAGCGTGCGGCCGCAGCTCGACTGGTCGTTCTTCGCGGCGCTCACGGGCTCCTTGGCCCAGCTGCTCAGTGGTAGACCCGGGGATAGGGCTTGCTTGGCTGTTGGGGGTGGGGCTAGTAACCACCACACCCCCACTCTTCCCTTTCCCCCACCAGGCCTCTTCTGCCTCATCACCTACCTGAGCAGCCCCCAGACGCCACTGACCACCGACAGCATGGCCGGCACCGATGCCACTCCCTGGCCTGGTTCCCCCAGCTAGGCCCAGACACCTGCCCGTGCGTAACCCGGACACCGGGGTCCCCTGACTGCCTGGGTCCCCCGCCCATGTGACCCGGACTGCCTGGGTCCCAGACGCCTGGGATCCCTGTTCCCTGTATGACCCACATGCCCAGGTCCCCGACCGCCCAAGTCCCAGACACCCAGGTGCCCTGTGCCAGTATGACCCGGACGCCTGGGTCCCATGACTGCCGGTCTCCCGGGCACCTGGGTTCCCTCTTTGAGCTGCACCCGGGTCCTTGGGTCCTGTGCGCGTGTCTGCGAGAGACTCGGACGCCTGGGTTCCCTGGCTCTCTGCCCCCCCGCTCTCCCGCCCCACCAGCAATGACCCAGCCCAGCCAAACGCAGCCCCCCACCCGATTGGACAGACCCACACGGGGAGGAGCCCAGTATGTCCCAGTCTGAAATGGGCCGGGGGCCAAACTCCCACTGCTCTCAGCCCCCAGCCCCAGGGCCTCTCCTAGACCTGGAGAGAACCAGACGTCCGGGCTCCCAGCCCCCGACACCCAACACTGTGGTCTTGGGGAGGTTGCGGGTCTGGAGTGAGGGGCATTGGCAGGGTTGGAGGGGGGCTGTGGGGCCCCTCACTCTGGCCCACAGCCCTCCCCTGCCCTATTAACCCCTCAATTCCCCCCAAAGACACCTTCTGGGTCCATCCGGTTCTGGCCCTGGCGGGCCTTGTTGGGGGGCCATCGCCTGCCGCCTCCTCCCCGAGGGTCTCACGCTCCCTGGTGCGGGCTGGGGCCAACTTCTCAGCAGGTGCGATGGGGCCCGGCCAGCTCTGGGTGGAAACAGCTGCATTGAACAGCCCGCCCACAAGAGTTCACTGGGAGTTGTGGTGCAGCCAGCTCTGGGGCAGAGCCGTCTGTGTGTAACAGCCCATAGGAAGGGCCAAGATACAATGAGCTCTGTGGGAGAACAGCCCGTATAATGCAGCTGAGGAGGGCCTGATTTGGAGCCAAGATGCACCCAGCTCTGGGGTGGAGCTGTCAGGGGACGGCCACAATAAATAGTCCATAAGAAGGGCTGAGATGCACCCAGCTCTGGGGCAGGGGAGCAGTGGGGTATAACACTATGATCCTGCCCCGCTTTAACCCTCTTTCTCCCCCCTGCCAGGGCTTTTCAGCTTCCAGCTCTGGCCCCCACCATGGGGCCCTCATGCCTGGACCCCAAAGCCCCAGTGGGGGTGGAGCCTAGGTCGGTGGGGGTGGGGTGACTCCATAGGGACCCTAACCCTGCCTCTGGGTTGGGGGGGGTCTCCTTGAGACCTGGGTTCAGTGTGCATGTGTGTGTGTGTGTACATGTGTGCACCTCGACACCTGGATTCCCTGTGGGATTGTGTCCCATCGCCCCTACAAGCGCCCTGTGCACAGAGGATAGTGAGTATTTTTGTATGGGGGGGACAATAAATGATAGTTGTCTTGGAAACCAGCATCTTCTTCTCAGCTTCCCCCATCTTTCCCTCCCCCCGAGGTGCTGGGAACAGGCCCTGCTCAGTGGCAGGGGCATGAGGGCGGTGATGTTAGGCCTGGATGCGGCTGGCTCTGGTGGGGAGCAGCTCAAATGGCAGCATAGAACACCCGCCCTCCCCCGCCAAACCCACATGCACAGGAAGAGGCTAGGAGGGGGTGGGGGGCAGGATAGAAGCATCAAGGGCGGCTGGGGACGGACCAACAAGACCTTGTCTCCCCTGAGGATCTGCAGAGACCCCTGAAAGCCAGGTAAGGGCAGGGAACCCAGGCGTCCGGGTCCCCAGTGCCCCCGCCCCACTTTTACCCACGCCAGCCCCCACTTCCCTCCCAGGGAACCCAGGTGTCCAGGCTCCCAGCACCCTGCTGTACACCCCCCCCACACCAGACCTGACTCCTCTCCTACTGCAGGGAGAGAGACCAGGTGTCCAGGCCC